AAAGCTGTGCAAAAGAACGTGGGTGCATTAATGTAATGCATCACCCTATAAAGTTGTTGTCCCAGCAAACAGCTGCTTATTTACACATCGATGAGACACAGAGTGAGATTATCATGTGTGAAGTGTGTGAAGTCATGTTTCTGGCCACCTGGAAGTCCATTATTCACTTTTCTTTTAACTCTGGACTGGTTTCCAAAAATCCTCAGGGGAAATCTGGCTCTTTAGTTGCTACCCTATTTGGTTTAGTGCTGAGCAGGTAGAATAAAGTGGGTTTATCAGAGCTTCTGGAAACCCTCTTTGTCTTTTCAAGACAAACAGTTGGCTTTAAAAAAAAGTCCCAGCTAAAAACAGAGCAATCTTTTTAAAGAAAGTCAGCCACATCTCCACATCTCTGGATAAAGAATCTAACAAGCTGTCTGTGTTTCATCTTCAATTTAGGGCAGCATACATGTATCTCTCTTAAATCAGCCTGATATCATTTGAGCATAACAGACCATAAATATTTCTTTTTTGCTAACTCTTATTTTCTATTTGCAGGTTGTGGGAAGACATACACCATGCTGGGGACAGACAAGGAGCCAGGCATCTACGTTCGAACGCTGAACGACCTGTTCCATGCCATTGAAGAGACCAGTGATGACATGCTGTATAGTGTCTCCATGTCCTATCTGGAGGTTAGAAATTCATTTACCACAACTTTTCTCCAGCGTTTATTCTCATTACGAGCTCACAGAAACATCTGCTTAATGCAACAGTTATGACACATTTCCTAATTACCCTGAAGTGGGGCTCCATATGTTGTAGCCATTTATTTGATTGGTTACACAGATTTTTGAACATTTCAATTGTATCCATCCATTCCATGTTTCTGTCAACATCACAATTAGAAGGTCTTCTTTTGCCGTCATCTGTTACCACTGATAAGATCTGAGGTTGTTAGCTAATGCCAATTGCAGGCAGATACTGCTGGTGTCCTTTTACTTTAGCCTGGCATTCGTTTTACATCTGAAATGAGCAAAGCTGGCATCTTCATCCACAGCCCTGTAGACACAGATGAACAATGTTAACTATGTTAATTCCACATTGGTATAATATACCAATGTGGAATTAACATTGTGAACACTGTGTGTTTCTATGTGCCTTGTGTTTCTGTTATATCTGGTTTTGATGCCTTTTTGTCTTGCGTAAAGTACTTTGAATTGCCTTTTGAAAGATTATTGAAAGGTGTTTCAATAAAACACTTGCCTTTGCCTTCCCTTGCCTTGTTAAAAGGGTCACTGCTGCTATCTCAAAAAGAAAGTTGCCATCTTTCACAATAACCCTTTTTGAAATACAAGGTGATAGCCAGCCAGTGTCTAATGTTTGTGGTTTTTCTCTAACTGACCCTTATGGATGGCCATGTAGGCGCTTTGCCATGTTACACTAGCAGCCAAGACAGTTAGTGACAAGACCTGTCTGAAAGGCTTTACAGCGAACTGAAGCAGTAATTTCACCAATTTATTGTGTTGTCGATGCCAATGCCACTTAAAACTCTCAAACATTTTCTCAATGTATGCTCTGAGTAGATATAATGGTGGCCTATTTTTTTGACAGACTCTCCATGGTATTCTTCGGAGTACAAATAGCAGACTATTTACTGATTCATTTCTCTCTGACACAGAATGAATGCCATTTTAAGTGAAACCTTTTTCACAAACAATTGACAAGTTGAAGTGAGACAACGTGAGGCGATGCAAAGCACTAAATCACTCAGACTCTGTTAGTATTACTTCTTTTTTGTGTCAGGTGAGCTTGGTGGGTTGTTTTTTTTTTTAGCAAAGTGGCATGACTAGAAACTTTTTGAAGATGGGGAACAGCAGTGATAATGCTAGCAGACCATCACTCCAAAGATATTTGTTGTTCTATATGTCTCATTATCTGTTACTTCAGCAACACTATAGCTTGGACAAGATTTACGAACCAAAGTAAACATCACAGTGACTTTACATACTGTAAGTGTATTAGTGCTTTTATTGTGCACAGTACTTTTAGGTGTGGAGTGATCTGTGGTCCTGTGTGAGGGATTTTGTGACTGGATGATGAACCACAGATAAGACTGTAGGCTGACGATGGCGGTTTCTCTGTGAGCCTGCCGACTGTGCTTCCAAACCTCATTACTGAGAAGCAGGTATTGCTCAGACTGTGTGTTTAATGACAAAGCCCTTAATAGCTGTGGATACAATGGAAGTTGGTTCATTTGACTCTGATAGTAGTAACTGAGCCTTGCTGGTGTGACTTCGTATTCCCATTTTAAAGAGGTAATTATTGGCTTTTCTTGACTTTAATCAATTAGTTGATATTTCTTAGTTTATACTGTACTCATAGTTCTGCATAAATTAGTCCTATTAAAAGCCTTTTCAAGCTATCTATTGAAACTTTTCACCTTGTGCATAGCAGCTGCTTGCTTTTTGAAATACAGGAAATATATTGTATGAGCCTTGGAAATTGGCTGCCTCATTCAGGATATTTTTAATGATTTTAAGTGAACAATTTGTCCATCATAGCTTTGCTCGCAAAAGTCATTCTACGAAAGATGGCATAATGAATATAAAGAAGAATGAGTCAGATTTGTTCAAAAATGTTTAGGGTGTCAGGAAAGGAAATGAGAGTGAGAGAAAAGAGAGGGACAAAGGCAGAAAGAAAGAGGCAGATGATGAATATAACCTTGTATAAAAAGAGCAAATATGAAAAGAGCATTAAATCTGGAATTGAAAATGAAAATGGCACAATGTAAGCAGTTGGGCACAAATAGAAGAGGAGGGTTTGGATCAGACATTGAAATTACATTTTGTGTTTTCGGTGCCAAAAGCTATCATTATATTCAATGATTGACAATGTTATTGAAGCTTAGCTCTTTAGTAGGACTCTGGGTGGGTGGATGTGAACATTTTCCGATTAAAATGCCAATCATGAAGTTTGGATGTTGTCTGGCCTGTATTGAACTCTTGAGGAAGAATCCTGACACAAGGCTGCGCGTGACGTGTGTGTTTGCTGTTTCCAGGGAGCAATCTGTTGCCACTGCTGCCTCGCCACAAAGAGGTTAAACGCCATTTTACAGCCTGACTGGGCGATGTGCACACATCTGCTCCTTTTCTTGTTCAAATTACACTCCCTTTCACACGTGCAATCTCTAAAACACATGCACAGAAACACATACAGCAAATGCAAATAAATATACTGATTTTAAAAAATGCCACCTTCAGTTATTCTTTACCACTCAGTGCTCCCTCTCCCTTTACTTTATGTTCATTCAACTTTTATGATCCACTGACTTTTCAACTAGCGCCACCAGCAGGTAAACATTTTTATTTATCCAGTACTTTGGTTTATTTAACAAAGGCCTGCAAAATTACTAACATCAGCCTCATTTGTACCTGGTTTAGGACTAATTATAAATGTAAAATGTTTCTTTCAGTTTAAACATTGTATCTGCTAGTATTGTTTTTTTAACAAGTTGGCATGCTGACATTAGCATTTAGCTCAAAGCACCACTGTGCCTATGTACAGCGTCACAGTGCCACTAGCGTGACAGTTGACTCTTAGTCTTGTTCAAACTTTACCAGCAATGAAAGAGTACAGATGGAAAAAATAATAGGACAAATATCCAGCTGTCAGGGTCAGTAAAAGCATCCCCCTTTCAGAGTTTGTGGCTGGGGTCTGCTTGACAAAAACAAACTGTCTTTACGGCTCCGACCTCGCAGTGGTTTGTCATCCAGTGGTCACTTTCCAGGATGTCACTTCCTTCACTGAGCTTTTATGTGGGTTTAGGGGCTTTCGCTCCACCATCAATGTCAGTCCAGAGAAGTCACCTGAATTTTCTTTTCGTGAAAGAAGAGCACTGACACCGGCTTATGACAGTTTGCCACCCAGAAAGCTGTGGTTTCTAAATGACAAGTTGCTGAAAATATACCACTTGATGTTTTTGTACCAGATTTCGGTCTGTGTAGGAGGCCTGAAAGACTGAATGGAGCCTTTGCAATGGACAAAAACAACCTCCCAGTTGATTCATGTCTATAACTCAGAAAAACATACCTTAAGGATTTCGAGCAGATACATAATAAGTTTTCATACTGTATATCTGACTTGTACTATAACTACTTAATAAATTTTTATTGTTGGTGCATTCACTTGATGACTAATTCTATGTGTATATTTTAAGATCTACAATGAGATGATCCGTGACCTGCTGAACCCATCCTCAGGCTTCTTGGACCTGAGGGAAGACTCTAAAGGAGTGATTCAGGTTGCAGGCATCACAGAGGTGTCCACCATCAACGCACAGGAGGTTAGACAAGCTACCAATCAAAACATTCAGATTTCATCTAGCGCAACTGGACCACCCATCACAAAGAACTCTACCTCTGTGTTATCAGATCATGGAATTGCTGATGAGGGGCAACAAACAGCGCACCCAGGAGCCAACAGCCGCCAATCAGACGTCATCTCGCTCCCATGCTGTGCTGCAGGTGGCCGTCAAGCAGCAGAGCCGGTGTCGAGACGTCTTGCAGGAGGTCCGCTTTGCACGCCTCTTCATGATTGACCTCGCCGGGTCTGAACGCGCAGCACAGGTGTGTGTATATAGTGAGGAGGTGTTTAAATGCCTGAAATTATGTTTAATTGGTAGTTGTACAGGTGATCAGTTTAGTTGGTGTTTGTGTACCTAAACGGGTGCATTCACTTTTGTCAGCTACTTTTTGGCCAAACACAAGTTTAAAGACTTGGCTAATGTGCCTGTTACATACCCTGCTTTTTGTAAACCTCTATGGACATATTACACATATATAGCCTCAAAACTACAAGGATCTGCTTTGTGAGTGTGTCCGGACTCAACTGCAGTCTGCTCACTGGGGATGCTTGGCAGAGTATCTTTACAACAGTCCAGAGGATTAAGGGTTCCCATAAACCTCTGGAGACTTTAATAAAAGCCTCTTTATATCTTCCATTAAGCCCCACGATGCAATTTATTAAAGTAATACACCAGCCTTTTGCCAAATGGGATCACATTTTAGTGGAAAATATTTTCATTTTACTGGAGTATTTCCATTTTATGCCACTTTATACTTCCACTACATTTATTTAACCGCAATATTTACTAGTCAGTTTACACATTTACAAGAAATATGATGACCAAGTAAAACCCAACAGTATATAAAATAGTTCAAATAAGCTCCAATGAAATGCTGCTTGCACATTAATGCATCAGCAATAATAATATAATATATAATGGTATAAAACGCTTAGGGGACATTTTTCATTGAGTATATATAATTAGCTGCTCTGGTGTGTATATTGTCTGTGGTGTCACACCAGTGCTATCGATATATGTGTATAGAAGACAGGATTCAGACAGGAAGAGTCCCTTCCTGTGAGCTCCACCATGTGAGCTTATTCATTTTCAGGGGGTTATATCATTACTTCGACCGTCTCTTTTGAAGCAGTTAAGTGAGGATGTTGAAACCTATTTGTTCAGTTTGTTGTTCACAGTTTCTCAAGTCTGCTTTTGTTGGTCAGATGAATGGCTTGTCACTATTAACACTGCCACGTCCTTGCACACCACAAGAACAACATGCAAACAATCAGTGAGTGAAAGCACTTATTTGCCATGGAGACGGTTTGAGAGGTTCATGGCCATACTATTGATGAATATCACATATGGCCTCCATTAGTAAATGAGCAGAACAGGGAGTTGTTTGTCACCAGAGGCCACAGGGAACATTTTCACTACCTCTAAAGAGGAGTGCATGCGGTTAGTGAAAGTTGTTTCTGACAAGTATTAATAGTCTAAACGCAGGAGGTAATGCCATCTCCTGGTCAAAGGAAAACATGACAACTACTCTACTGCTAAGAAACAGTGAAGAGCGGTTGAGATGGCAAGAAGTGAGTATGTTCATGACTAAATAGGCAACAATCAAAGTTAAAAAAACATTCTAAGGATTTATTTACAATGTTTAAACTCAAAAACTGCTTCTTTTGGACTGTACAGGATGTAATTTGAACAGACGTGATTGACAGTGAACAGACAACCCAATTTCCTGTTCAAATGTTGCCAATGTTAAGTCTAGCTGGGGACCTCATGTTATTCTCTACCTCTCTTGTCTCCTCATTTCCCATCAGGTGTTTGCTGTTTACTCGGTAATAAAGGCAGGGGATGCCCAAAAAAATGCTGACAGCTATCTCTCTGTCTCTTTTAGACTCAGAATAGGGGTCAGCGGTTGAAAGAGGGGGCCCACATCAACCGCTCCCTCCTGGCTTTGGGCAACTGCATCAACGCCCTGAGTGACAAAAATGGCACCAAGTATGTCAACTATCGAGACAGCAAATTGACTCGACTACTGAAGGTACAGCAATTTTAGAATTTACAGCGGACTAACTCCATCATATCGTAACAGTGCTTTGTCATTTAGATATCATCCATGTATTAATTTTTTCATCTGATGTCTTCTAATTGACAGGACTCGTTGGGCGGGAACAGCCGTACAGTCATGATAGCCCATATTAGCCCCGCCTCCATGGCTTTTGAGGAGTCTCGTAACACTCTGACGTACGCGGACCGTGCCAAAAGCATTCGAACACGGGTGAGCTCAGGACAAGTGTCATTTTACAGCTTATTCCTAGGGATTGTAAGACATTTCTTGCCAATAAAGCAGAACCAGGTACAGTAATAGTATTCACTGAGGCTCAGGAGGTAGAGAAGGTCATCCACTAGTTACAGAGTTTGCGGTTCAACCCTCAACTCCTCCTGTCCTGTATAAATGGGTGAGAGGCAAATTGTCAAGAGCTTTGGATAAAAGCTCTACAAATTAATATGATACTTAATTGCAGTTAAATAAATAACAATTATTTGTCTTTCCTAATCACTGTGTGCTTCAGGTAAAGAAGAACCTGATAAATGTGTCATACCACATTGCTCAGTACACCAACATTATCTCAGACCTGCGCTGCGAGATCCAGCGGCTCAAGAAGAAGATTGCGGATCAGGCGACCCGCCAGCTCAACTCAGACCGGGCTGACATCCGCCACGTCCAGGGTACACGGAGAACATCTGCCAAATGAAACTGTCTTCTGATATTGGTATTCTACACTGCCTGTTCATGATTCACATCATTATTCTCCTCTCCTCTCTGCTCGCCCCAATTGTAGCGGAGGTCCAGGCTCACTCCAGCCAGCAGAGTCGGGCGGAGATGGACCAGTTGAGGGAGCAGCTCTTGGATGCCTTCCGCCAACAGATGGAGATCAGGAGAAGCCTGATGGAACTGGAAAACAGCAACATGGAGATCCAGATCGACACCTCCAAACACCTGCTAACCATTGCAGAGTCAGTGTTTTAGTTTAATATCTTGACTTTCTCAAAATTTGTCTGAGAGTGGTACGTAGTCAAATTAGAGTAAAAGCAGGTAACCATAGCAACCACACTTTGGGTTACTTTGTGTTATATTCAGTTCACTGGTGAAATTGACCTAACCATCATGACAAACAATCATTCAAAAACAAATGATTATTTAACGCTGCAGAAAACTGATGATATATAATTATTACTGTACACTAGTGTGTAGTGTAATGTTAGTATAATTCTTTGTCTCCTAGCTGGGAGCAGGAGCGGAGTAGGCGAAGGAGGAAGTGGCGGGCTGAAAGAAGGAAGGAAAGTGTCAATAAAGATGAAAGCGAGAAGGACTCTGACTCCCCGGAGTCTCCTCCAGACAGCTCAGAGACCCAGCAGGTGGCGATGGCCCGAGAAAACCTGGTTACACTCATGGCTGAACAGAAAAAGATCCACAAACAGAAGGTTGGATTCTTGATCTACTTTTTAAAACTATTAGGAAAATGGTTCTTGTAGCTTTGTTTCTGCAGAATATAGAAACAAACCTGTTCTTTTTCCCGCTCATCCTCAAGACGTTGCTCGAGCGTAGATTTCTGGAGCTTCGGGATCGGGCCCGCCGCTTGGAGGAGCTGCTGCCCCGGCGGGTGAGCTCAGAGGAGCAGCGCGAGGTCCTGGGCCTCCTCTGCAAAGTCCATGAGCTAGAGATCGAGAATGCGGAGATGCAGTCACATGCGCTGCTCAAGGACAACGTCATCCGGCAGAAAAACTTTGTGGTGCAGCGCTTCGAGCAGCACAGACACCTGTGTGACGAAATCATACAGCAACAGAGACAGTTCATTAATGGTGAGTCTGTTAGCACAAACGCCCAAAAGATCTGCAAAAGTTTCCAAGCAAAAATACCAAACATTTCATGGGTTCAGTTTCTCAGATTTGAAATATTTCCACTTCTGTTGGTCTTACATTATAGTAAATTGAATATATTTTATTTTAAATTTCTGTTTTACTGAATTAAATATGTGTCTGTGTGTTCCAGACCACAGTCTGCTGGTACCTCCACACCTCCAGGAGCTGTATGAAATGTACATGAGGGAGCTGGATGAGAGGAAATTGGACAGAGCCATGGCCCTGGATAAGGTGACCACCAGACACACCATCAAGGTAGCTTCTTCATGAAAAATTCAATGAACAAACTAAATTATAAAAAATATTTATAAGATGGCCTAGATGAATATTGGTAGAAATAATTCCTGCTCTGCTCTCATTTCTAGGAGGGCTCTCTACCTAAGATCACTCTCCCCGGTCAGGGTCGAGACAACATGCAGGACATGGACTCAGACCAGGAGAGCGTGCGCAACATGTGCTCTGATAACAGACGAGGCCAAGCCAAAATCCGAAGACACACTTTACCCCCCATTCTTCCTGAGCCTGATCTGTAAGAGGATATCTTGTTATGTTTTCCATTTTAGAATTTATACAACAGCTGCATTTGCAGTAATATTAAAAGCGAGTATCACTTTTTCTTCTCTTTCTTCGTGTCAGGGACAATAACAGAGTTTTTAAGAACAGCCCCCACGCCAGGCAGATGAAACACTCGTCTGTAATGACGCCGCCTCCCATCCACATTAACGGGAAGGGCAACAGAGAGGTGAGGACCATTCTAATAGGCAGTATTTGATTGGTTCATTCCAGTTTAATAGCTATCTCTGAGAGGTGGCTCATGCTGTGAATTAATACAGTCTAGTCAGATGTAGTTTTTTTCACTTCAAGCACTATAGGTTCCTGTTTGAATTCAACTCACAGAGATATATCACTCTAGCAGAACATTTTCAACCCACGCAGCTTCATAAAAGAAACTCCAACATAAGCTGTAATAAGAATGCACTCTCAACTTTTGCTTTCAGGGAATTTTCTCTGTTATTTTATTTTGAATTTTGTTAACCAATAGAATTACATCTTTGTTCCAGGCTTGAAATAATATTACCTCCATCTAATCTTCTCTCTGTGCAAATGCATCTGTAGTATGACTCATAGATGATGTAAGAAGAGTTATGAGTGCTAGAATCCAAAAGCCCTATTCAAAGTAAAAATGTAATTTTGGAAAGGCAGAAGTAATTAAGATGGCCCTCAATCTGACCTCAACTGAAAGCAAAGGACTGCAGTGAATGTCTGATCACAATGTGTTATGTTTGCAGCTGCAGCCACTGGCTCCTGAGAGCTCTCTGAGCTACAGCCATCTCAGCCACAGTGTCAGCAGCCACCTGGACTCATCACCCGAGAGCAGCGAGGCTGGCGCTGACATCCCCCTTTCACGGACTGGTAAGATGTTCAAACAAGTATATATGAAGGATGGGTTAGTGGAGGGACAGCTGGGGTCAAAGAATCGTTTGGCGGGTGTTAGCACATTCAACAGGACACTTTTTAGCAAATCTTGGTGTCTGAAATTTTTCATCTAGGACAGTATGAGGATTATTTCCTGATGTGTCAAGTCAGTTTAAACAAATTTGCTCCAAAGGGCTTTACAATCTAAACTATATACCTTCTATCCTTAGACCCTCAATTGGCTAATTGCGCAGTCTATAAAATGTTATTTTCATAAACAATGCAATGTCTAAGGTTGAGTCTTCAAACTGCAAAGCTTGCTTAATATTGAGAATATGTGACATTATTACTTTATAAAGGACTTAAACAATTCACAGTTATGAAAAATGTTACATTTCAGCACTAACGAATTGTAAAAAACATAAAGAGTAATTCTTTCTTTCTGAAGTAGCCCTTTGATGGACTATAAACCTTTTATCTAGTGCATGCAGGTAGATAGAAGTAGGTAAAGAAAGTGAAGAAAGTAAAATAACAAACATCTCCTGCGTCTCCACAGAGCGGCAGCAGATCCTAAAAGGGGTCCAGAACATTGTAGTAAAAGCAGCCCGTCGACGCTCCAAAGCCCTTGAGGTGGATGCCTTGCGGTTACCCCCTCCCCCCTCTCCCCTGGACCCCAAGAAGCAAAAGAGCAGCCTCTCTTTGAGTGAGGCTCCCCCTAGAGGTTTGCCAATGCGGCGCGGCAGGCAGCCGAGCCCTGAGCTCAGACACGCCACCTCGGACGATAACCTGTCCAGCAGCACAGGTGAGGGGCCCGGCCTGCAAGTGACCTGGACGCGCCCACGTAACCGCCAGGTCGCCACCAAGAACCAAACGCCCCGCGAAGTGGACTTCGAGGCTCGTCGCAAGAAGAGGCGCTCACGCTCCTTCGAGGTCACTGGTCAAGCAGTGAGTATCATAGTATTATAGCAGTCATATCGCAGTCCTCTTTTTTGTCTTTTTCATTATTATCATAGTCATGCAACAAACACGTCAATGCATATTTGTCCTCAAACCAAACTTTGAAGGGAAACACACATCTGAACTGAGCCCACAAGAAGTTTAGGTGTCACAATTACTTCCTCCTCTCACTCGCAGCTGCCTCAAACCAAGACAACCACCGCTCAGAGGTTCCGTCCACTGGACAGCACATCAGACCCCCATCTCCACAATAACAATCAGCCCCAGGCTCCCATGCTCCGCCCCCAGTACAGAGGGGTCCTTCCTCTCGCCAAAGTCAGGGCACCTCTCAACAGCCAGCAAACAGGTGAGCCCTCTGTCGCTGCCAGTGAAGAAAAAGTGACGTTCCTCTATAACAGTCTTTTGATTGAGCCTTTGTTTTGTCATTTCCCCGTCTCTCTGCAGGCTCCAATGCAGAGGCCTCCACAGCCCAAATGAATAACCTGAAGCGGGGGCCCCAGCTGCGGCAGCCACAGCCCCTCCTCTACATCACCACCACAGGCACCGGGGGCCAGCGCACACGCAGACACTGAGCCGTTAGCCACATTTATCCTTGACACCAGCACTAACTCCCCAAACCAGCTGAGCCTGGAGGGGAACCGTCTCCTCCAACTGGAGAGCTAAGAGCATCCATTAATACGCTCATTAATACGAACAGTTAACCCCTCAGTGACTGACATTTGGCATAATTGTGAGGCAGTATGACGGAGATTAACCAGAAAAGCTGGGTTCCTCCACACAGTTCTCCTCTGTGCTTTGTTGTGGACACTGAGTGACGGCGCCGACAGGCTCTGAGACCTACAGACGCCGAAGATTGCTAGACGTACAGTGCGTGTTCTGTTCTGTCAAGTGTTTCCACGTTAGCTTGCTGTCGTGCTGGATCATGTGTTATTGTCAAGTCAGGAAGATGACGAGCTCACTGTGAATGCAACACTGTACTAATGTTTGTGCATTATGAGTATATACGGTTTGGTAATTTTCAGTGTTTGTCACGAAGGCCAGAAACTGAAACATCAAGCTAATGGGGGCTGTTGATGGGACCTCACAGTAATGATTTAAATGAGAATCAAGGGAAAAGACTGGTTACATTAGACACAGGATAAAAAAAAGCCGAGAGGATGTTACACTAATGACAATGTAAAAACTGTATAATGAGAAAATGGCCTACTCTCAGATTGTTTCAGCATCATTTTTTCTTGTAGTGAGGTTTCAATTCAATGACACTAATATTTGAGTAAAAAAAAATATCTTGATTGTTGTGCACATCTGGATTCAATGTTGTATTCTCACTCGCCCCAGGTCTATGCCTTTTCCTACCCAAATGTGACTGTTAAATGTCATGTCTGTTTGTGTAGATGTATAGTACCACAAGTTGCTTTTCCAGATTAGTTAGGCTGTATTTTTAAAGAATTATTTAACTGTTGCCTTTTCTTTTATGTTGTTGTTAATGACATTGTTTTCATAACAATCCACTTTCTATGCTTTATTTTGTACATTTTTTTTAATTTGTACCCAAATAAATTCAAACGAGATAAGTGAAAAGTTGCATGTTTTCCAGTCCAAACACACAATTCACTGGCTGCAGTGAAAGCAACCAACTTTCATTCCAGACAAGTAATCATTGCAAGCATTGTCATTAGTAATTATTACTGCATCTGTGCAAATTAGAGAGAGTCTTGCATCAATAACAAGTAACAATGCAATTTTTAAAGACATTGTTGATTAGGATGAAATGTGACAGCTGGGTCAGGGTAACTGTGGCACACTGTAACACGTGTGAGACTGGCACAGGATGCTTTCTACTGATCGGATTTGTAATAATGTAAGCCGTCCACTAGATGGTGCACAGTGGCCACATTTAGGCAGAAGATAATTGCATCCAAGCTACAGGACGCCATCTGATGGACCATCTCCCATACTGTCAGCAGTAATAACTTTACTTGATTCAGAGATAAGATTGCATTCATTATTTTACATGTTGTATTCTAAGCAGCAAGTTGTTGTCTGCAGTATGTTCTAGTATATAATATGATAAAATACCCTAGGACTATAAGTCTATAAAGTATATATACGCTATTTAGTAAGTACAGATGCATAAGATGAAGTGTAGCTGGGAAAGAGCTATCATTCTGTCTTCTAAGTCGTGGTCTGTTTGATTCCGTACGGTATTTGAACTATACAGTGATCTCTCGGTTTTAATAACTGCTGTTACCATAAACCTTTCTGTAATACACACTGAAAGCTCAAATGTATTATTTAGTTGGCATATGTCATATGTCAAAGCTCACTAATGTGATTAATCAGTTCTCCAAGTAATGAATAATGATTATGTTAATAACTACTGGCATATGTCATTGCTCAGAGCACCTTTAATAATACATGTAGATTGATTGTTTTGAGTCCCCTGAGGGCATCCAGAAGATAAGAAGATAATTACAGAAGCATGTATACTAATAATATTTGATTAGTAAAGCCAAAAGGTTTATTTTAGTTCCAGATATAAGGGTTTTGATTAGTAATCATCCAGATAAACAGAGTAAAGCAGAGTGCTTCTTGCAGACTCCTATACAATTGATTAAATTATCTCAAACAAGTGAATAAAAATGTTCACTTTTTTACACTTAAACTATAATTTGCCAAAGTTTTCTCCGAAAATGAGCTGAAATTAGAAAAATAAGACAAACCAACAAACACACAAGTACAAGCTCTCATCCCATTGTACTTGGAGAACGCTGAGACGGAAATCCCGCCCCCCTCTGCTCTACCGACAGCGGTCTCATCCAATCACAAACCGCAGGGTGCGTGATGGACGTGTCAACCGACCAATGAGCAGAGGGATTACCGCTTTCGGGCGGTAGTACACGTACAGCTGATTTGCAACCCGCCGAAGCAACAGCAGAGAAGGAGGAAAAATGTCGCTGGCTTCGACGCGGACCGTTCTAGGATCAGTGTCCTTTTAAGAAAAACCAGACGGCAATTCGGTGAGTGGGACAGCCGTCACTAGTTGCACCCAAAGGTTAGCGGTTAAATTTGGTCCGTCCCGTCCAGAACCGCTACCGTCCGCTCCAGTTCTGCCCCGTTTTGTGTTCCGCTTCAGGCCTGCTGGATAGGAAGAAAAAAAGAAACCTAGCAACGGCCGCGCCTGGCAGCCATGATGAATGTTAGTTACGATAAATGTGGCAGTTGTTGATACATTCGTTAATTGGTAGCGCAAAAAAAAAAGTCTCCTTTTTGTCCTGTAACTACGGGTGACAATGTAACACTGTGGTTATTAAGTGTTTATGAAATGGCAGGTGGACACTGGGGAGCATCCACGTCCTCGGTGTCTTTATCTAAAGTTCTTATCTTACACATCAACTCTGCGCAAAACCGCTCGTTCAGTCAGACGCTTTAAAAAAAAAAGTTCTTTATGTTGTTGATGTTTTGAGTTGAAACATTATTTACTCTTGTTTGAGACTTGGAACAGACGCTGTACAGTTTGAGCTGAGGCAGAGCGCTTTCCTCTTGCATGTCCAATCAGAGACGCCTCTCCTCAAAGAGCAGCAGCTCAGGACTGACTGACTGACAGACTGACT